AGATAGATAGATAGATAGATAGATAGATAGATAGATAGATAGATAGATAGATAGATAGATAGATAGATAGATGCGTTGCTTTGAATTGTAAAAATGCTGCAGCAGTCTGCTTTAATTATTAAAAAATGTGATAACATTAGCATAAATATTTGTAAAAAAGCAAATATTAAGGGGTGATTATGTAGGGACATAGGAACATTGATGATGATTTTTAAAAAGCATGTTTGCATCTCTTGCAAGTGGGACTCTGCAGTCGGAAAAATGGATATGGCTGCAAGTTCTTGCCTTTTTGGTAAAAAAATCTCACTCAGTGATAAATTTAGCCTTGTTATTAATTGCACCTTGTATCATTCTTGTTTAGGTACTTAATAGTATTCAAGATAACTTTTTTTTTAAATCTTCCCCTGCTTCCCTTCTCCCAACAGGCATTGTTGATTCCTGTCAGATGGGAATTTTCCAAATCCTTGCTGCTATTCTGCACTTGGGCAATGTCTCCTTCACATCTCGAGATGCTGATAGCTGCACAATACCCGTGAGTCCCAAAATACTTCAAATATTCTCAATCCCATTAATATTGCTAATCTCTTCCTTGTGAATTTGTGAGGTAGTTTGTCTTGCCAAACTGGAGATAAGATGCATTTCTCCCATCTCTTCAATTTTTTTTTATTTTCTTTTCAGATTCTTTCTCATTTTTCTTCAGAGTCCATCTTTCCAACTGGAAAGATTTTCTCATTAAATCTAAAGCATGGTAGGGGCTGGGGTGCGTTGCTGCCGGTTTTACTACCGGTTCGTACCCCACGCGCATCGCACATGCGTGCTGTTTACTGTAAATTGTTCTTGGCGCATGCGCAGGACAATTTACAGTGAACTGTGCATGCGCAGTCACTAGAAAACAACGTGGCGCCGGCCCAGTGCCGGCAAGGGAACCGATTTGGGGGCGTGGCAGGCTTGGGTCGCTGCCGGTTCTATGATCCAGGCCTGAATTCCACTACCGGTTCGGCTGAACCGGGAGCAACCCACCTCTGGGTAGGGGGGGAATTTTGAGTGGCGCGGAGGCCTATAGGTGGAGGTCTCGTCTCACAAACAGGAGGCTGTGGTTTTGATCCTAGGTAGAGGCAGGTATTTCTATCTGGGCACAATGAGAATATATCAGCTGAACAAAACTCTGGACTGGCGACAATCAGGGCATCCGGCCAGTAAACACTCAGCTCCATTCAGTTGCCCAGACTCCACCCCGATGCAAGGGATTATGGGTGCATTAAAAGAAGAGGATGATGGCAGGGGGGATTTGGGCTGCTTGAAAATAATTTAGATGACTAGTTAGGAGTACATGTTGGTTTCAACTCTTATTGCCGTAGCCTAAACACGAGCCCCTCCGGATCTTCTGCGATCTCATGGGAGTGGAATATGAACAGATGGCGCACTGGCTTTGCCACAGAAAGCTGGCTACTGCCACAGAGACCTACATCAAGCCAATTTCCAAGCTGCAGGCTATCAACGCCAGGGATGCTCTCGCGAAGCATATCTACGCGAACCTTTTTACCTGGATTGTTGAGCACGTGAACAAAGCTTTGCAGTCCACCGTGAAACAGCATTCTTTCATTGGCGTATTGGACATTTATGGGTGAGTGTTTTCCGTCCTGGTGTTTTTATCCAATTTCGGTACCATCACAATGATTTCCAGTGGCATAGTAAAAAAAAAAAAGATAGATTCAACCTTTAGCTGCAAATATTTTCCTTCATTGATAGATTTATCTGAAACCGTATCTTGGAAGTTTCACAGAATCAGGTTATATAATAGACAAAATGAAATAGCTTACATCGAGAAGGACTGGGGTTCCCCCCCCCCTTGGAAGGAAGGTAGAGATAGGGGTAAATATTTTTTGTTTGTGTGTTTTGGTCTTGTCGTTTCTTTCCATTTTAATACAGCTGAAACTATTCAGTTGTAGCGAATGGAATAGAATAGAATAGAATAGAATAGAATAGAATAGAAT